CCTCGACGGTGCGCCCAGGGGGGGGGCAGGGAGAGGGGTCGGGCCTGCTCAGAAGCCTTGCGTCGGGCGTGACCCTCTACAGGAGGAATATTCAAACAAAAATTGAAACAATAGCCTGGGGACGATTTCTCGATTATCTGGTTGACAATGTTGGGGTATTTTTTGAGTATCTTCAACTTTTCGTCCAACATCCGCCTGTAGGGGGACATGCCCGACCTCACAGAAGCCCCAGCAGGCTCCAGAAGGCCTCTGGTCCGAGGCGGGGATTCGTCCGCAACCGCCGCCTGGGGGATCGATCCTCGCGGACCTCCACAGGCGGTGGATCTGCATATACACTCGGGCCCCCGGGGGTTGCCTGCCCGTCGGGTTTGAGCCCCCTCGGAGCAGATCAGTTCGGTCGAAGGCACGGGCTGAGCTCGAGAGGGCACTTTTCGAAGGCATCAGGTCGCGGTGATGCTCGCGACGAAGGCCACGGACTGAGCTGGAGAGGACACTCTTGGAAGGCATTGGGTCGTGGTGAAAAAAAAACTCGGGCCCCCAGGGGCCAGAAGATGTCCATGTCCACCGCCCGCTGGGGCACCAGAGCGCCCCGCACGATGCCCAGAGGGCACGATGGGGCTCCCAATGGGAGCGGAAAGCTGGGGACGTCTGTGGCCAGGAACACGTCCGTCGACCCCCGAGAAGGAGGAGGAGGAGGAGGAGGAGGAGGAGGAGGAGGAGGAGGAGGCGGAGGAGGAGGAAGAGGGGGAAGGAGGAGGAGGAGGAGGAGGAGGAGGAGGAGGAGGAGGAGGAGGGGAGGAGGAAGAGGAGGGAGGAGGAGGAGGAGGAGGGAGGAGGAGGAAGAGGAGGAAGAGGAGTTGGAGGAGGAGGAGGAGGAGGAGGAGGAGGAGGAGGAAGAGGAGGAGGAGGCGGCGGGTGCGGACAAATCCCACCCCGAGCCGCTCCTGCACGGCCCCGCGAGGGCCCCGTGGAGGCCCAGAGCAGCGGGCAGCTTCCCGCCGTGGTTTCTCCGTGGCGCGGGGGGTCTCCTCCTCCTCCTCCTCCCTCCTCCTCCTCCTCCTCCTCCTCCTCCTCCTCCCCGTCCTCCTCCTCCTCCTCCTCCTCCTGCTCCTCCTCCTCGTCCTCCCCCTCGTACCCCCGCCGCGTTGATGTTTCTTCCATGCTTCCTCTTACATTGCTCGCTGTGCCACACCCGCCTCTCCGCCGAGGAAAGCAACAAGAGGATAGTGTACCGCAATGTGCAGTGGGCAGACTTCATCATCCTCGAGGAGATTTCGATGCAGATGGCCAACGGCGACGTCGACGGAACCACTGGGACGGGCAGGGCAGCGCGAGGCACGGATTACACGAAGTACCAGCTGCCAAACCAACAATGTATCCAGCACAGGTGGAGGAAAGTGGCTGGCGTCCCCAATCCATGCGGAATGGCAGTACTACTGAATAAGGGACTCAGTGGGAGGTCCCCGAGAGCGGCTACGACTCCGACGACGAGCGGCATCACAGGACGGAATGGCATGATTACAGTCAGTATGAGCACAATAGACGTGGCGTCGTTCCCCATCTTCATACAACCGAGGGGCACGGCCGTCAACCAGAGCGAGCTAGACAAGTGGGGTCACAACAGCCTCCCCATCATTTCTGGTGACCACAACTGCGCTTTTGGAATACGCCGACGCACAACAGGGAATAAGTACATCGAGGCCACCGAGTCTAGCGACACAGAGGAGCCCGCCCTAGAGAACACCACCAGCTCGCAGAGGAGCGACCTCAAGGATGACAACCACTTGGCGATCGGAGACACCTTCATGGGGACAGGGGACGCCTACTACATAAGCACCTACACGAACAACTTAGACCATGTTGCTTTGCCTGCGAAAGCCATATGCAGGGTTCGCCAACCTTACCCCGCGGCTGACCTGGCGCGACGTCTCCAGTTACACGATCCCGCGCACCTGACTGACCACATGCCGATCTACATGAAACTAGATGGGCACAACGCCAAAACCCACAACAGCAAGCTCACGCCACATGCCAACTGCGACCTGATGATGATCGCTTTCACACGGGACTACAAACGCCTGGATCTTTCAAAACAAGAAGAGGAGAAGACCCAGCAGACAGACGAGATGGAGTGGCGCAAAGCATGGGACCAAGGCAACGTTCAAAAACGGTGGGATATGCTTTCTAACAGTTCGTGAAGCCAGGCTGGAGACGTTCCCCAAGCAGGAACAAGACAACATCGGATACGCGAGATTGGGACGTTGGAAATCGATCGACACCTCGTGCCCCCGAGAGTTACGAGTGAAGGGGGGCTCACAGCACACAGTGCCCATCGAGACCTTCTCAGCCCCGAAGGCGCTCGACGAACAGCCCGACCTCAGAGCGGTGATGGAGAAGCCGACGACGACAACAGCCTCACGAACGAGTACGTATGCACGCACGGGATGGGGAAGTAGGGCGAGGGCAGATGCTGCGGAATGACATTAAAGAAGAAAAACAAGTTCGCCCCGCGCACAGGGATGACAGGAACACACTGGGATGACGGACCGAGTCGACCGCCACAGCTTGGAGGAATGCAGTACGAGAACATTGATTGGCAGGAGTGGATCGCCGACCTCGCCTCCATGCTGCACACCCACGATTCCTTGTACGCAGACGACTTTGGAGATCAGACTAGCCAGGGCCGTGCAGGCCAGAATCGATACCTACGCAGAGCCCCCGAACGACGTGCAGGGCCAGCACGAGGAGTGCTAGCGCAGGCACCATGCATGTGCAGCGACAGGCGATATCACGACAACGAGCACGAACGGAAGTACAAACCAGAGAACTTCAGCAGACGGCATGATGATTTACATGTGCTGATTCGCCTGGAAGGATCAGCCCCACCGAGAACCACTCGGCCGCAGTCGTTCACCCAGGACAAGGGCAATGAGAAGCTCGTGGGCCAAGGGCAACAAATCCTTCATCGATTCGAAGTGCCACGAGAGTATGGACGAACAGAAGCAACCTCTTCCAGATCCGTGGTCGTCAGCGCGAACATGGGTACATGGTGCCGTGCAGCAGTTGCGAGCAGAGCACCATGTCTGCGCTGCAGGCTCAGGCGACCACACCGACGAAGAGAAATTGCTGCAGCAGAAGGCGTTGCCCAACAACGCGCAGATGATCAGGCAACTGTCAGGCAGCCAATGGGACCGCTTTCTGATCTACGGCGAGTACTCAGCAGTGACCGCCGCGGAAGCAGCGGACGCAACCATTGCGGAGAAGGCCCCGGAGAAGAACGGCAAGGACTTGGGGGCGCCGCGCCTCCACATCGGCGTAGGCTGCCACCTGGAGACGGGGCTCAACGACAGGTCCGACGAAACCAACAAGACGATCCTGAAGGAGGATTGCTCGTTGACCCACGTGACGGGCATGCAGGGATTCGGGGACATCGCCCCGTATATCAAAGTCAAGAAGGCCTACAGCGAAGGGGGACAGCCATACAGATGGAAGCTCTAGTCGACGCTCAACAGCCTCGCACGCAGCCCTCGGACACCCTCATGGGAGGACCAGATCAACGCCTCTCGCGAAGGAAGCCAGGAGCCGCCCGTCAAGATCAGCCGCACCAAGCAGAATGGGGACCTCAGGAAAGCAGTCGAGGACAAACCCCGAGCGGCAGAGGCAGTGCAGATATTCTGAGCACCGCCGTTATCAGGTCTCGTGAGGAAAGTACAGGCAGCATTGTGAGCACGTCAGATGGCGATGGAGAGGTAGAGATGACAGAAAGTAGAGAGCTAGCCAGGGATAGCAGTCGCAATGCGATGGGCCGCTGCGACGCACCACCGCCCGTGATGGTTCCTCTTGCTTTCTTTTACGCGAAGTCGTTAAGCACCTGTCTCGGGGATTTAGGCGCCAAAG